GGAGCAAATCCATCTGGCGGAGTCAGGTTATAAAATAGCTTCATTCATACAAAAATGTTCTCATAATGGTCACAAGCAGCAACTCTGCATAATTCCTCATAAGGGAAAATAATGTTTGTGTGGCACATGAGGAAAAAGCCAGGACTTTTGGTTCATTTTCCAAAGCTGACTTCACTTTATTAAAGTGGGTTTCTGTAACCATTTGAATGTTTATGTGTTGGTGTTATGCTTACGATAAATTGTATCCATTATGCAGAGAGGTTGAGACAAGGTGAATGGGGAACAGCAGCTCTACTACTGGGTGATTACATCTCGCTCTGTCATTACACACCAGCACCTCGTTAGCAGAGTTAAAGCCGGCTTTTCTCACCGCCTCATAAATCTGACACATTAGGACCACACACTGCATGTACACATGTCCTCTGAAAGGTTTTCAGATGTTATTGCTTTGCATTTTCTTCTTTTTGCACTTGAGGAAAATGTATGTTTTTTTAAGTTGTGAAAAAAGAAAAGCTTAGACTCTAGTGCCCTAAAGTAGTCCAATAGAAATCCAAATGAATGCATGGTGCTTAGTGTACAAACATGTTTGTTTCGCCAACAGCAATGATAAGTAGGTTTGTTTGTGTCTTAGCTACAAACATTAAAACACAAATGTAAGCAATGAAATCAACAAGCGAATACACACACAAACACACGGCTGCATGGTCAAATAATACCAAATGCAAAAACATTAGGAGTGGTTATAAATACAAACTGAGAGGTAAATTTTATTACCATCAACAGAGGGTGGAATTATATCTCTAGAAAAAAATTGTTTTTAGATACACATGCAAACACAGTCTCTGCATATTGACAGCTCAATTCAATTCAGTTTATTTCTATTACGTCAATTCACAACAAATGTCATCTCAAGGCACTTTCCAGTTCACCAGATCGTCCAGTCAAATTGATTCAAAGTTTTCTATCTAAGGAAAACCAGTTGATTGCATCGACTAATTGACCCGAATTAAATCCCTCACACTAAGCATGCTTGCAGCGACAGTGGAGAGGAAAATCTCCCTCTTAACAGAAAGAAACCTCCAGTAAAGCTTCCACTCTAATAAGACATTTGCAAGACCATTATGAAAGGAGAGATCAATTGTCAATAAATCCTTCTACCTTTAGGTTTTTTAAAAGGGGCCTTCGGTTCGCTTACCTTAGAGTTCAACATAGTGTTATCTGGATGTCTCTCTCTTGTAGCTCAGGTATGAAGACAAAGGAAAGAGAGAATTGTGGGAGATAATTTTTTTTAGAAAGTCTGAAATTTGGTTTATATATATATATATATATATATATATATTCTTTTTTTTTAAGGAATTCAATTAAATTCATTTTTTTTCTATAGCACCAATTCACAACACATGTCGTCTCAAGGCCCTTTACAGTTTACCAGATCATCCAGTTAAATTGATTCAAAGTTTTCTATCTAAGGAAAACCAGTTGATTGCATCGACTTATTGAC